GCAATGTCAACGGCCAGAAGGCCAAAGCACATGGCGAAAACGGAGTAGTAACCTCCCTTTCCATATACGAGACCTCCCAGTAGAGGTGCCACCAAGATGCCCAGACTGCAAGCTGTGCTAATCCAACCCATGGCCTTGCCGATATGCTCCTTATCGACAGTATCAACAACAAGCGCAAGGCCAACGGTCCATGTTAGTGCGGCCGATATTCCTTGCAGAGCACGGCCGATCATGAAGAGAGCAAGCGTGCGACCTACGCATAGAAAAACAGTAGCACCACACAATACAATAAGCCCTATAAGCATAGGCATCCGGCGGTTGTGGATTCTGTCGGCCAGATAACCCCAGACAGCTGATATAGTCACCGTAAGTTATATACTGCCACTTCAAGTGAGGACTGTGTACATACGAGAGCCAGCCAAGAGTGCAGCACCAAACACGGCCAATGCTATGGAGACCCAGTACTGCACCCGGTTTGTGCTGATACCAATTCGATCCTGAAGAGAGAATGGAAGTATGGGAACGATAACACCATACAGAAAGATGTCCTGAGGCCATATTATTCAACTGGCTTTTCAGAGTTGAGGAGCAACCGGCGACTTACAGTGAAGATTGCAAAGGAACATGTGGTGACGATGAGACCAGCCGAGGACCGCACCTTGAGCAGAAACGGCGGCTTGTCCTTGTGAGGCCATCTTAGCAACCCCATGGCCAGCAATTGACAGTCGGTGCTTTGGTTAGTGAGCTTCTCAGGCCCGAGCGTCCATCATCTCAAGAGAGGTCAAAGTCTGGGAAGACGGATCTGAACTGACTCTTTTTCAACATCTTCGTACCCACTTACGGACCCCCGGGTTGCGGGCATCTCGCGCCCCGATGATGGACGGATGACAGGTCCGGACTCTCCATTTGGGTTTAGCGCCCTCTCAAGACTGTGATGTGATGAATGTGATGACTTTGAGGTTGAGATGTTTGCCGAAGATGCGGAGTATCTACAAGCTATTGATTACCAAGGCTTAGCTGCAGGAGGAAACTAGTTATAGATCTACGTTGACAGAAGAAAGATGTGGGAGGCAGGCCGAGATGCAGGGTCGAATTATCCTTCAACGGCTTCTTAGTTAATGCTTAGCTTGGCCAAAACCAAACTGCTACACAAAGAAGGAAAGAATTACAATGAAACCTAGAGCTGTTTATATTTTCGGGCTTGGATTACTTGACGATCGTTCTGATGGTCTGTGGAAAACAGTAGTTGACCGTACAAAGTTGTCGAAGCCATTGACTCCCCAAGTAGACACATCTTGAGGGTTCGTAAACAGACTTTCCTGTTAATAAATCTATAATGCCATCGTTTCTTTCATAACCATCGAGAACACTTGATGTTAAAGAAGGAAGACAACTAATTGACTGTGGCGGTATAGCGTGGCATGCTCCGCATATAGTTTTCACAGCTGTTCCCCGTTGATGTTCCCCGAATGCTACGCCGACGATAGCTTGGCAATACAGGAAGATTGGTTCTTCCACAGAAATGGACGAACCGATCCTAATCGAGGTTCATGAAAACTCGATGCTTATCGATACTATTCAGAGATGGGAATCACAAAGCATCACCTGAAGCGGGCTCAGCAAGAGGAAATAAACCTCAAGCCACGAGACCGTGCCGATCGACGGGTAACATGCTAAACGCAGCTCATGTCTCAGTTTGAATCACGTATGTAGTATGATGAGAGTACAGATGCAATTTAACAAAAGCGCCTTCGTGCAGGTGAGACAAGCAGATAAGCTGCATATTCACCTCGTCCCATGTTGATAAGTTGGAGCCCCAAACATGCAATTGCGACAGGAGCATTATCAAGCTGAAATTGACAGGCGTGACAGAGCTGCAGCTGGAAGTCTGTTGAGGGTATGGATATGTGACAAGTTCACGAGGCTGATCTCCACTGCATAAACTTGAGCAGGGAGCCCTTGATCAAAGTAATATCCCTGGGCTGAAGCTTCAGTGTTGATGTCGGTAAGTTCCTATACTAGCGAGCGGGTGCTGGGATGAGTGATTCCGAGATTTGTGTCCGCGCGTGTCTCCCCAGTCACCGTTTATCACAGGGCTGTTGTGTTGTTTATCAGAGGGCCATGATACTCGAACCAACGACATCGTCGCAGTGCAACCGGGACTCGAGAGACTCGGCAGGTGCCAACAGACATGTCTTGTTCTCGCTCTTGTTCTTCCTCTTCTTGATGTTTGCCTTTGTCACCCTGCTTCGGGACGTCGCACTCAGCACAGGAAGTGGTCGTGGCCGTGTTAGGTGATGGGGGTTTGTTTCTTTATTCGGATCTCCGAGCCAGAGGAGGTTTGAAACACATAACACAAAGATCACCGTCAATCCGCAGTGGCCAGTGGTCACGCGTGTGTCACAATTTGCATTGGCATCAAAGCACTCGACACTTGTAAAGCAGATCCCCTTGTTAAGCGAGAGCTTTGAATATAGCTTAGGGGGCCAAGGGCATGGACTAGAGAGAGCTACTTGCAACAAGCCCCCGACCCCTTCTGGATCACCAGATGGATAGGCTCTTAATGCGCTGCAACTTGCAAGGCGAGGCAATCAAGACCAGGCGGGAACAGAATGAGCCCAATCGGACATGTCACGATCTGATATACGACACCACCAGTGAAGCGAAGTCAAAGGACAAGCATACCCCTACAACAAGGCAACGCACGCACTGAGAACAATCGGATCTTGACGAGCGGATCGTCGTCTCATTCTCTGACCCCTATCCCCTTACTTTGTTTTCCCACCTTTTTCTTTGGTTTGGTTCTCGTGCTTTATGCAAGCACTTGGTGCCAGGTGGCTCAATCCTCGTGTCGTCATCAATTAACTATCGCATTGGTCCTCTGTACTGACATACTGTAGTAGCTGGTCTAAGTCAACGCCGATAACAAAGGGTCCTAGGATATTTGCGCCATTCAGCACGGTTCTCGCGCAGTGCGTCAAGGTCAAGCTTGTATTTATTATGGCTAATACAGGTCCGACTGACAGGCCTTTGTCCCAAATTTCCAAGCCAAAGACCAGAAACTTTGCCCCTGAGTTGGACCGTTTCATATTTGCAACTGAGGGATACTGTGGATGGTTGTTATACGGGATAAGGCTGCCACTGAAGGAATGGCACTGATGAACCAGATATCGGCTTGATAAAGAGCTACTTTGCCCCGTGGCATATACACGTGGTTTTGGAAGTATCTGGCTGTTGATGACTAACAGTGGACCCTCCTGCACGCAGACCGGGACCCAGGCAGCCTCTTATGGTCCCGTAGGTACTAAGGTAGTATCTTTGGGATGATGACGCTAAAAAGGTCCTGAAGAGTTCCAGTATCGCCGTTGCACCTGGGCTGCCATCCATTGATCGACGGACGCTCCAGAGTCCAGGCCTTGCCTCATTTCCATTCCATATTACTTACGACTTCTTGTGTGTCTGACATTGATTTTGTGCTATCATATCACTCCCTTGGCTTCAGCTCAACAACTGCAATCTAATGATCGACTCGACTCGACTCGACTCTACTTCTTCTTGGTAAGGTTTCTTGGACTTGCATCAAGAAGTCGGTAAATGGTACCGACCAGACAGCATACAGCATCGCTACAGTACCTTTAATAGTGCCTAATCACTAACAGGTTGGTCCATTTCTTTATGGGTATCAGAGTTGTGACCACATTCACGACCAACTTGGCTATTTCGACCATAATCACAAAGAACCTCACTCAGGATCTCCTGGAGTCTGCCTGATAACTCTGTCCCCTTTCTGCTTTGTTTTACTTCTCTTCTGCACTATAGCCTCACTCACATCTTGCATTTCTTTTGCCCTTAGGTGTTGTCCCGTCCACTCAGACTGGTACATGTAACGCATCCACCTCCCCAATCCACCCACATTGGCCTGGCCTGGCCTGGTCTCCTTTACTTGGTGCTTGTTTAGCCCATCAAGTAGAGGCGGTACTTTGCTGTACTGCTAAGCTGGCGGTTCTCACGAGTGTACTTGGCTGTACGTAAAGTACTTACCATTGGATGCAAGCTTGCCTGTCTAAGCTAAACCTGGAACTGGGAGAGGTGCTGGCTCTGAGCGTTCTAACCTCCCTCTCTCTTCTCTCCCCGTCCCCGTATTAATACCATTTCCTATCCCCTGCTCTGCTCTGCCTACCCTGCCCCATGCTAGGCTAGGCTGCCTTCCTTGTGCTGGTACCTCCAGGCTAATGCTACTGGTGTTGGTCCCTTTGCTTTGCCTTACCTTACCTCACGCACCTCACCTCAACTTGCTTTGCCTTGATTTCCTGCCTGGCTTGGTTTTCTCCGGCGGTATCTGTCTATCTGTCTGTCTGTGCTGCTTCATCGAGGCCCACTACCACTCACTGTACACACGGCCTGTGCCTCTCTTTTTAACTCTTGCCAGCGCCTGTGCCTCTTCCCGTCGCTTTTTGCTTGGACTGGACCCTTTACCAGCTGGTAGTCGCACGTCAATCAATCGTGTCTGTTTTCTACTTCCGCTCACCTCTTCTTGTTGCAGTTTCAAAGTTCCGTCGACCATACCTACCTAGCCTCCTCAGTCGCTCCCAGGCTCTCCACCTCCACCCATTCGCTGGCCTACATAGATCCAGAACCCAAACAACCCAAACCAGACCAGACCGAACCAAACCAAAGCGCACCTCAACGCAACTCCATACCAATCCGCTACCTAGACCTACCGAAAGCCGCATCCACCGCAATCTTGCCTTGTCTTCAACCACCTCAATCCGCCATCAAACAGTACAGCCCCAACATATTCGCCTTCCCTCGACTTATCATCCTTATTTTGACCTATTCTCCCCGACACCTATTCGAACTCGACTTTCTCCGCTCCGCAACCCCCCCGCTCTCTTACCGTAGTCGCGCGCATCCGCCCGCCAATAGAGCTTCACCACTCGACCGCTTGCATTTCACATTAACATAGACGAGCTCCTGCCGAGGAGCTTTCGTGAGGAACAATGGCTGTTGTCGCAACTATTAAGTATGTTTTTATCCCTTGGGTTTGTGCTGCCGCAATGCCATGCCATGGTTTGCTTCCGTTTGCTTGCCTTCTCTCTACACCGAGATTGTCCTACGGCAAAGCACCCTAAGCATACCTGCGCATCTACTCTGCTTGCCCGTTATCCTGTCCGCCATTCGCACAATCGTTCTTCAGGCTAACCCGGCTTACCCCTTTTCTAGATGCGTCGTCGTCGGTGACGGTGCTGTTGGAAAGACCTGTCTTCTCATCAGCTACACAACAAACAAGTTTCCCTCCGAATATGTCCCTACAGTCTTCGACAACTACGCAGTTACGGTTATGTGAGTCTACCTACACGCCTATCGATCGATGCCAGCCCCCCCCAACAGGGTATCACCACCTGCAATGGACGCCTTCAGTCGTGAAAGCCATCACCGACTCCTGGCTTGAGCAGTGTGATGAATTCTGTGATACGAGGGGCGATCTGTGGATGTGTTTGATGGACGGCAACTTGGCCAGTCGAAGAAGGGTTGCTGATTACTTACAGGATAGGAGATGAGCCGTACACTCTCGGGTTGTTCGATACCGCCGGCCAAGAAGATTATGACAGACTGCGACCTCTTTCATATCCTCAGACCGATGTCTTCCTCGTCTGTTTTTCCGTCACCTCGCCTGCTTCCTTCGAAAACGTCCGCGAGAAGTGGTTCCCCGAGGTCCGCCACCACTGCCCTGGCGTTCCGTGTTTGATTGTTGGTACCCAGGTGGATTTGAGGGACGACCCTAGTGTTCGAGAGAAGCTGTCAAAGCAAAAGATGCAACCAGTACGACGAGAGGATGGCGAACGAATGGCGAAGGACCTAGGTGCTGTCAAGTACGTTGAGTGCAGTGCTCTCACCCAGTATAAGCTTAAGGATGTATTTGACGAGGTATGTCTTGACTGTTTGAAAACCCTCCTCACCAATAAGCATTACTTGGAACATTTTCTCATTGCATTATACAGGCTATCGTTGCAGCACTTGAGCCCCCTGCTCCTAAAAAGAAGTCACACAAGTGCCTCGTCCTATAAACGGAAATGGGATAGCCACAGCCGAGCTATGACACCACCTTCTCCTACTTCCCCATGGGAATTTTTGGCTGAGTTAGGAACATGCCCAGTAGACATGCACGAATAGAGTTCTTGGTGGAGGCACGGCAAGACGACATTGGGTTGACCTGCGCTGGCGGACCGGAACGATATGGGTTTCAAAGAGAGTGATCGTTCTTTACATGAGGTGAACTAAGAGACGGAACAAAACTCGAGGAGCAGGCGTCCTGTTCCGCAACGAGAAGGGGAAGAAGGGTTTGAAAGGGTGAGACCGATCGAGAGCTGCCGGGTGCCGCTGTGCGTAGCCCCCAGGCGGAACTTCTGCCGAAAAGCCTCTTCTATCCCAGCGGTCTCCCCGAGTTTCTTTAGGCTGGAATCCAATGCATCTTGTTCTCTGGCCCTCGCGAGATGGATCAAGTGGAAAGAGAGAGGACTGGTAGCGGACGAAGACAACGATTGACACATCTAGGCGGGAATGCTTTGATAGGAAAGTTTGGCGATTGGGGTGATTTACATCAATGTCATGTCTTGATTCATACTAAGTTATAGAAAATTTTGTATTTCATGTTTGAATCTTTCAATGGATCATGTTAATTGGCAACGGTGAAGTAGCTCAGACATGTGTTTCGGCGGATGAAGAAGCATAGTGGCATCAAGTATGGTCTTCTCTTTCAACTCGGCCAGCGAGTATGTTGGATCTTGCAGGGCTTCAAAGCTACTGTACTCGGTAAAGCTCTTCATACGTTCTTGACCTGGGGAAATGTGCTTGGTAGGCAAACCCTTGCCTGCCAACTCGGTAGATGGATCGGGCCCGGACTGTCCTTGGGACCGGCTAACTGCCGGCGTACATTGTAGACCAAGTGTAGGCATCAACATTGCAGTTGATGCCAAAGGGGACATATCACTTGTCTGGGATGCTGTCCTGTCGAGACAAAGACAGAGACAGACTGTTCTCCTCGAGTGCTGCAAGAGGTGTGGTGAATGACGGAGGGTACTACGCCCTTTGACAGACAATGCGTACGCCCTATGCGATGTGTACTAAGCATGATGCGTACTGGAACAAAGATGTGTTGTCCGTAAAACGATCCTGAGAATATGATACCTAGAAGGTGCCTGTCCCCTCAGGAGAACTTGAGGTGTGTCTGTAAGAGTCACACTTGAGACAAAGGGGAACTTGATATTGCAAAGCTAGAGAACTTTGGAGGGTGTCCCTGTTGATAACTGCTTGACAAACATATCAGCGGGCTGAAGGTGATTTGACATTGTTCAGAATACAAACCCAACGTTGCCGGTAAATATGAGGTGCCGTCGCCCCAACTTTCCTATCTCAACCTAGTTCCACACCCGAGACCCATTTTCTGGTCACTATCTCTCAACCCAAAAGTGAAATCATAGGGCCTCTACGTGCAATTCTATGCCTGAATCAGGCAAATTCACTCCCCAAACCTCAAGAGGGCTCGAGGCGGGGAAGAAAGACAACTGCGGGGAGATCGTTATCCGGTCAGAACTGCCTCGATTGACCAATCGGCGATCGTCATATCTCTCTTTGAGGCTTTCATTGAGTTGAGTGAGGCATGCTTGCTTGATCTGATGGATCTTGACTCGTGGGGCCGGATGCCCGCCCGGTGGAGGGTGAAGCATAGATAGGTAGTGACTATATAGACCTCACCGGTAGCCTCTCTTTTCTTCTGCTTCTCTCTCTCTCTCTCTCTTGTGATTCTCAAGTTCAAATATTTGCAAATTGACTTGATCGGTGAATTGCAACTGCCACTCATCATGAAGCTCCTGAACGTTCTCGCTTTGGCGGGGCTGGCCACAGCTTGCTCCCATGATCACGATGATAAGGAGTGGACGAAGGAGGAACTCGATGAGCTTGAGCAGAAATGGGGTTACGAGGTATGTGATAGGCACTCGGTAGAGAAGGGTCCAAGTGTCTCATTAAGCATCGTGAACTATCGTGAGAGGTCTATATACTGACTCCTCGCAGTGGCCCTTTGCTGGCATCAACACATTTGCCCATCTCAACCATGTAAAGTGTCTCACTGAACCCACCGAGCCCTTCGATATTGCTATTGTTGGCGCTCCTTTCGACACAGCCGTGAGCTACCGCCCAGGAGCTCGTTTTGGCCCACGAGCGATTCGCTCTGCATCTGCTCGCCAGACATCCATGCGTGGATTCAACCCTCGCGCTGGTATCAACCCTTACCAGAACTGGGCCAAGATTGTAGACTGTGGTGATATTTCTATCACCCCCATCGACAACAACATTGCTCGCGAGCAGATGACCCAGGCTTTCAAGCAGCTTGGTCGCCGCAAGACGGTTTCAGCACTTGCGCCCAAGGCTCGACTGGTGACTTTGGGTGGTGATCACTCTTTGGCTCTCCCTGCTTTGAGAGCGTTGAACGAGATTCATGGGAAGCCTATCCAGGTCCTACATTTCGACGGTGAGTTAATTGTGCCCTCGGTTAATTATCTTATGAAGAACCTCATTAACACATTCATCATAGCTCATCTCGATACCTGGAACCCAGCTGCCTATCCTTCCTGGTGGGGAGCCACTCAGTTTACCCACGGCTCCATGTTTTGGATGGCCAACCAGGAAGGTCTTCTTTCAAACTCCTCCTCTGAGCGCTCCGTCCATGCCGGTCTACGCACCAGGCTCTCAGGTAACGACTTTGCCGACAACGAGGACGACACCTCCCAAGGCTGGGTCCGCTTCACAGCCGACGATATTGATGATCTCGGTACCAAGGGAATAATCGACGGTATCCTGAAAGTACTCGGTACCGAAAACCCTGTGTATCTCTCTGTCGACATCGATGTTCTGGATCCCGCCTTTGCACCCGGCACCGGAACTCCTGAGCCCGGCGGCTGGTCTACCCGCGAGTTCATCCGCATTCTTCGCGGTCTTGAGGGACTGAACCTAGTTGGTGCTGATGTTGTTGAGGTATCTCCTGCTTACCAGAATGGTGGTGAGGAGACCGCTCTGGCCGCTGCTCAGGTTGTGTATGAGATCATCAGCTCTATGGTCAAGAGAGGCCTTCAGGATGGTGGGAAGGAAGGCAATGGCGGCAATGCTAAGGATGAGTTGTGAGTGACATGGAGAGGGGATGGCGTTATGCGTTATGAATGATAATGAGGACTTGCATGGGTTTGGCCGACGTCAAAAGAATGTACATAAAACGGAGAGGGTGCATATTGTAGCAGAAGAAATCATCATTGAAATCATTGAACTGCTCTAGTTCTTTCGGTCTAGTTTCCCGGTAAATACTGCCACTGAGACTGAGATAGTGGATAATGATATGAACTTGGTGGAGATCAACGAAAGAGTCGTCAGGAACTGCTTCGCCTGCAAGGTTTCCATTGTTTGTGACATTTTGTAAGTCTGACTTGGGATGATGCTATAACATTTAGGTGGCTATTTGGACCATCTCTCCGCAGTAGCAAAGAAGCTATGAAGCCTCGCCGTGCAACCCCATTCAGTATCAAAGGAACGTGTCTGTGCTACAGGCAACACCCGAAAGCCTTCGAGTCCCACGGCTCTCAGATCTATAGAAGGCTTGTGAGTAGCTTGGGAGAACTCAGATGTGGCATGGAAACGGTCGCGCTTTGGTGCCCGCAATTGAACACCCAATACTCTGTATCAGTACGAACCATCATTGGTTGACGAATCGTAGTTTTACATCGAGTTTGGTGCAGATACTCGCCAATGGCTAACCGCGAGTTTCGCTTGGCATACTCCGTACGTGGTTGAAGATCTAGTCTAATCGATATGATTAGTGAATCCCTGAGTGGTCACGTTCTCTCAAGGATACATAGGATGCAAGGTGGATTCCTTGACACTGACAGCACAAAGGGGGGCATGGAACTCCCGAAGATGATAGGAGAGCTAGGAGAGGTCTGGAGTTGGGATAGCAGTAGCTGGTCCAGGCGCAGTACCCGTAGCATCGCGGGACGTGGGATCAGAAATGGAACCACTAACAGTAGTAGCATTAAAAGAAATACCGCTTTCAGACCGACGTTTCTGCTCAACTCACTTGTGTGAGAGTTGTTGAACAGTATGCGCAACCGGGAGAACAAGACTCTCATCATCAGCCTAGAACCATTGAAAGCGGGTGGCGCGCCTGCGAAGCGCCTGAGACGCTTCCGAAAATAGAATTGACCTCCATGGTCTGAAGGCGATTGTGTTTGGGAGTGAAATGCTTCAAGACTAGGGCCCGTGTTGATGTTTCACGGCGACTGGGGACCATGTAACAAGGGGAAGAATACGAATCGAATCGTCTTTTCCGTCTTCTCGCTTGTATCACTTGTACCGAACTGTGAGGCACGTACGTACAAAGATTGACTTCTGTAGCCGCCCTAGAGGAGGTGCTTGTTCTGCATGTCTTATACGAGCGGCTCTTTAGATCGAGCTGCGACGAACTGACTGATATTGGAGACTCTGTTGGATCTGCAAGAGTGTCTCTAATGATACAGCTGTCAAAGTGGCTTCACGCTGAAAGCATTTGACCGTTTCAAGTGATGCGGGTGAAGTTACTCTTTGAGCTTTGAGCAAGTTTAGCGCGAATGAAACGGGCGGACCGTCAGACCCATTAATAAATAACCCATCCATGCCTTGCGGAGTACATATAATCATGAGTTAGGGGTCCAGTTTGTGCCAGGGGTGAGGAGAGGTTGAACTGTGGAATATGGATAATAATGGATGTGTGTTCACAGGTTGGCAGGTTGGCAGGTTGGTTAGAAATTGGGATACGTGTGAGCTGTAATGGTCATAGATCTTGGTAGAGACACAGTTGAGGAATGTTTCCACTTTGTGACATTTGAACTGAGTAAATTCTCGTATATGCTGCATCCAAAGTCTATTCAGCATTGCTTTGCTCTCAATTTCATCATCATGCTATTTTATCCCGAAACAAACCCGACCTAGCTCAGAATGGACAAGTCATATCTGCTTTCATCAGGGCCTACCTGAAAACTAATTATCTTCACAGCAATTACATACAGAGTAATAACAGCAGACTGGCTACCCCTATCTGATCCCGAGCCCAGAATCGATCGCGTGGTATGGATGGATATTCACCGGCCGATCCAAGTAAGCCAAGCCGAGACAAACAGTCCAGTCTCCCAGTCCCAGATGGACGGACGGGATTGGATTGCATGCTTCTCAAGGGGAAGCTTGTCTGCATGTAACATTGCAGTGCATATAATGTTATGTTATGTATGTATGTACATCTCCAACACTGGACATCTTCAAACGACGGAACCGGTCGATGAAGGAAGGGCTGCTATTGATGGAAACTCATTATCCAGGACTAACCTTTTGCTGTATATATGCTCTGATACACTTGCCTTACTTCAGGCTGTTTCTATTCTCCTTCTCAACTGGCATTGACTGACGATCAACGACTTCGGTTCAGTCCGTCACCGACCTTTAGTGACAGCTAATCGACATGATCCCTGTCAGGGTCATTAAACTATCGCAGCAGCCAATTCCAACCTTGACCCCCTTTAGGCAATGGTCCCCTTGTCCAATGTCCCCTCATGGGCCCCTGATGTCGATGCTGGCCCCCCCCCCAGGCCAGCCAGGCCCCAGAGCCTCCCCTTCTCCACAGCCCAACATAGGTAGGCAGAGGCAATGCGTTGTCTGTTCTGCCACTTTGAACCACGAGACTTGGCCTTCAGCTCCCCCTGAAAAGATGCACCAATCCTCTCCTTTCAGTTCCTGACTGGCTCGCCGTTGTCCGTCGTCGGTAGCCTCTAAGCCCGTCTCGGTCTTAGTCCAATAGCTTCACCTTTAGTCTCACGTTCATTTTGTGTTGGTGTTTTGTGCATGTGCTCTTTGATGAATTGTGCATCCACTCAATCGCTCACTCACTCACTCACTGCCTGTCTCTGGTCTTCTTTCCTTTCCACTATGATCGTGAATTGACCACCTTATGACTCTATTCATTCATGCAGCTGGTTAGCGGAGGCACTGAGCTAGTCCTTTAGCTAGTAGGCATATTGTACATAATTGTTTTTTTATCACCGTTAGATTACTGCATTCATTCTTGCCGTTCATCAGCTCTTTCCTGTCTTCTTTTCATGATCAACAAGTCGTCTTTCATCATTCTTTCCGTTCTCAATCTTCTCAACGTCAGACATTCATTCCTTCTTTAACTTCCATTCTTATTATCGATCCCTCCTTTTCCATCAACCTCCTCTAAGTTCTCATAACCTCAACATCTACCTAGTACCTTGCCTTTTCTTCTTATTTCTTCTTCTTTCATTTCATAATTATCCCTTCTCAATCTATAACTCCACCCACCCACCGAACCCTCCTCCACCTCATTCCCTACCAGGTTTGTCTGGCCTTTTTTCTCTCCCTCCCTGGCGCCTCTTTGCTCATTTGAGCATTATTACCTTGCATTATTTCCAAACTACTGGACTGGCCTCTTTGTACCTACAGGCTATGGTCTACCGCCCACAGCTAATCACTTGCGCTTCTATTACATTACTTGTCGGCCTGAGGCTCACCCAACACACCCCCTGTGTTTCCTGGTCCCTGATCTTTTGGAGGTCAACCTAGACGGCATCGAAATTCATCCCTCTCCCTCCCTCCTTTGACTCCTTCTTCCCTCCACATCTGTGCCGTCCTCTCATCGACGCCGACTTTTGTCTCTTCTCTTCTTCGTCAAGTCTCGTCTCTCATACACACTCACTGCCTGGGGCTTTCATTGACTGCTCCTTGGCAGATGCAGTGTCGTTATTCTTCCTTCTGTTGAGACTACACTTTTCGGCTTCGTCGACACTCGTTTCGGCCATATTGCTTTATTAATACTTTTACCTGCTCAGCTCACTCTGTCCCTGGATATCATCCTCAGCTCGGCAAGGCTACACACAATCGTGCTTTACGTTTCTCGTTCGACATTTAGATACACTCGCTCTTGCAACCGATTACCATTATTTCGCATCTTCAGCCTCACCAAAGCCTAAGGTTTCGATTCGGCCGAAACTCTTTCAAATTCGATCACCATATATACTAAACGGCTGCTTCCTGGAACGGCCTTTTTCATTTTTCAGGGTTGCCTTGACTTATTCTCTTTCGAATAAGCCAATCCGCTTCATAATACTCGATTTCATCGACTTTATTCTGCATAACTAGTTGCTTTAGCATTGTTATACGGCCTGCTCTGACTCGTTGGATTCTCGTGATTTGACCGATTTCCCGAAAAATCAGCTCTGCTGTCAGTGAACTGGAGACTTGGAACGTCTGAAATTCTTCAGTCGGATCATCCCCCCAACTTCACAGCTCTCTCCGTGCCTTACTCGGGCACAACCAGTTCTTCAAAACGGCTGTACTGTCGCACGTCGGGCGGGACTCGCTCGTCCCCCCTCATCTGCTCGGTATGCAAGACCTAAATGGACCCGTTGGCCAGGGTGCCCCTAATGGCCCGGCCAACCGCTTCGGACATGCCTCCAAGCCTTCCAACAGCGATACCGGTTTCTCCCATGGCGCTTTCAACTCCAACATCTCTGGCTTCGCCGACCGACATCCTCGGCGAGGTAACATCCCTTCGATCAACACTCAACCTCAGCCTATGGTCCAGCAGGCTTCGAACAATGGAGTAGACATGGCTACCCCGGGGACTGCATTTGATATGCAGTTCACCCCCCTTTTGCCTTCTCAGCTGCTTCTCGGCAGCCCTTTCCAGCCCGGTACACCGGCTGCTTTTGCCAGTCCCCAGTTTCAGAGCATCCCAGGATTTCAGCAACAGCAGGGAAACAACCAGCCGCAGAATAGTATCTCCAGCCCTGTGCAGCAGACCATTTCTCCTCAGTCATACCAAGGAATAGTGTCTCCCTCCACTTATGGTGCCCCTCAATTTTACCCTCCCCAGTCCCCTACTGGCGGTTTCGGTATGCAGGCACCTCTGCCTCCTACGTCTCCCGTCTCAATGGGATCCGGTGTTGTTACAGGAACCAGCCGTACCGTTTATCTGGGTAACATTCCTCCGGACACTGTGGCCGAGGAGATTCTTGGTCATGTTCGAAGTGGTCAAATCGAGTCAGTTCGCCTTCTGCCCGACAAGAACTGTGCTTTCATCTCGTTTCTTGACGCTAGCTCCGCCACTCACTTCCATTCCGATGCCATCTTGAAAAAGCTCTGCATCAAGGGCCAGGACATCAAGATTGGTTGGGGTAAGCCTTCGCAGGTCCCGACCTCTGTTGCTCTGGCTGTCCAACAATCTGGAGCTTCACGAAACGTGTACTTGGGCAATCTGCCCGAGGAAGTTAGCGAGGAGGAACTGCGCGAGGACCTTGGTAAGTTTGGTGCCATTGACACAATCAAGATCGTTCGCGAGAAGAACATTGCGTTTGTCCACTACCTCTCGATTGCCAACGCCATCAAGGCTGTCTCCCAGCTTCCCCAAGAGCCCAAGTGGCAGGCCCCTCGCCGCGTCTACTACGGAAAAGATCGTTGTGCCTACGTTTCCAAGACTCAACAGCAGAATGCTGCTCAGTACCTGGGCATTGCCCCTGGATACGCCCACATGCTCACAGGTGCCGACCGTGACTTGATCTCGAATGCTTTGGCCCAGCAATCTGTTGCTGCTGCTGCCGTCGCTACAACTGCTGGAGGTATCAACAACCTCGGTAACCGAACCATCTATCTTGGCAACATCCACCCGGAGACGACCATTGAGGAGATTTGCAACGTGGTTCGTGGAGGACTCCTTCACCACATCCGTTACATTCCCGACAAGCACATTTGCTTCGTTACCTTCATCGATCCCACCGCTGCCGCTTCGTTTTATGCTCTGAGTAACATTCAGGGCCTTATGATCCACAATCGACGCCTCAAGATTGGCTGGGGCAAGCACTCCGGAGCTCTTCCTCCTGCCATCGCTCTGGCTGTGAGCGGTGGTGCTTCCCGAAACGTCTACATTGGCAACCTTGACGAAACCTGGACCGAGGAGCGTCTACGACAGGACTTTTCCGAGTATGGTGAGATTGAGCTTGTCAACACTTTGCGTGAGAAGAGCTGTGCTTTTGTGAACTTCACCAATATCGCCAACGCCATCAAGGCGATTGAGGCCATCCGAGGCCGAGACGACTACAGGAAGTTCAAGGTCAACTTTGGCAAAGATCGTTGCGGTAACCCTCCTCGTCAAATGCAGCAGTCGCAGTCTCCTCGTGGTGATGGTGTGTCTTCTCCTCCACCTAACGGCTCTCAGAACAGCGGTTCTCCCACAAACGGCAACACTCCCCAGCAATCGGCTGCTCTCTTCAATGCCAACAGCAACCCTTTGACGATGTATTTGAACCAGGTCTCTCACCAGGCACAGCAGCAACAACATCACCAACAACAGCAGATCGTTGCTCAACAAAATGCCCTGTTTGGTACCGCCCAGCCATCTCCTAGCGATCTCGATCTCGCCATGTCCCAGCAAGTGCCTGTTTCCGGCCATGGACAGTCAGCAAGCATTTCGAATGGATACCCAGCCAACAGTGCAGCACCAGGTGCTACTACGATTGGTGGCTTGCTAGCACCAGGTCGCGGTCAGCATAGCAGGGCGGTCAGTCTTCCTGTGCTTGCTCCTGGATTCGAGAATGGTGGAAATGCCTCCAATGGTATCCCCGGAGCTGAGACCGAGCAACGACGAGGTCACCATTACCAGGCAAGCTATGGCGGTATGGGCTCTGGATTTGGCCTTGCTATTCAAGGAGGCCTGAACGGTTGGGTTGAAGAGGAAGTTGCAAACTAATGACGCTTGTGCATCTTTATGCTTTCACTCTCATCACGAGCAAGATTGAACGAAAAACTTGCTTAAACGTTGTAATCGACGTCGCTTGTGGCGTCATGTCCTTGATTCTCGGGGCTTTACAGACTTTCATTCTTTGATTTTCCTTTTTCTTGATAATCTACCCCTTCGGTGTACCTTTTTTTGTATTGCAAGTTGGTCTCGATTTTTGATGTTTTGCTCCTGAGAGGAAGAGAGCATTCGGAAGAAATGGGATTTGTGATTAATACGCCCCCTTTGTGAAAGACGGGAGCGCTCATGGTTGAGACGAGACGCTGTTTGAACTGGAGAGGATTCAGCACGGGATGGATGGATGAGAGGATATATCACCTGCGTTTGTGTCTATTACGGAGTCTTAGGTTAGGTTAGGCACTACAGTCTTGAACGCAGATCATATGATCACTTAACAATATGTCTATTTATGTTTGTGACAGCTCAGTTCTACTATATGGGTGGTGTCTTACGTATGTACCTAATTCGTTTATAGCTGTCGATTCGAGGTCTTGAGGTTATTGAGCGCAGGACGTGATTAGAGCTTAATGGTAAATGCACGCAGTTTCCAGGACTGGGGCAGTGTCAAATATTGGAGGATTTTGGTTACCTCTCATGAGCTTGCAGGTGATTTTCACAATCAATATCCCGATGGCTCGGGCTTAGAAGGAAAGGCTGGGTCCCTTACATTGGCACGGCACTGTTGTTTCCAGTTTATGGGTGTGAACTTATCCACGATCTCCTTAAAGGCTTCCTGTTGAAGTGTAAGTAATGCACGATACCAGTCTTGGTTCCAGAGTTGGTAAGGGGGAGAATATTAGAGCTTACCAAAGTGCAAAAGGACTCATCACCATCGAGATGCTTGCCTACTAGTGCACAGCCAGGGATAGTCACCGGGCGGTCATTGTAGCGCAGGCGGACATAGAAACCCTTCAGGCGCTCTTTTTCGTTCTCTGACAGGTCTGTAGTCTTTTTCCGACCTATGCCGGGGGGTGGCAGTCCAGGATGGGAAGCTCCTTTAGTACCCAGGCCGAAGAAAGACAGAAAGCCAGTGGGCTTGGGAGCTTCAGGAGGAGGTGTGGCACCTGCATTGACGTGGCGGAATAGTTCAATCGCAACGTGACTTGTGAAAGGCGGCCAGGCCTCTTCGTTGAAAGCGCCGAGGCTGGCGAGTGTGGCAGCAAGAGTGGTATCGTGACAACCGCTCATTCCAAATCGTACAGGTTGTGGTGTAGTAGCAAAAACCTCCTTGTTGAGAGCCAGCTCATACTCGCCATCAGCAGTAGAATGCTCAGCACTACCGACCATACGAGAGACAACGTCTCCGAGAAGTCCACCGATGCCTAGAGTGCGGTACTCCTCACTCTCTTTGTATCCAGCATACCACTCCTCGACGCCGATCTTCTCCATAATTCGCTTGACTTCGGGGTCGTAGAACTCTTTGGGTAACCGAGTGGCTTGACCGTGGGCCTTTGTTGCATTAATAGTGTCCATAATGCCACTGAGGCGAGGCCGAGAGTCCACGGCAACGTGTGGGTGTTCCTCGGGCATCCAGCGACCGAGGCGTCTTGTCAAATATGCCATCTCGTCGGAGTCGTTCCAGCGGTCAGCACAGCGCTGAGCGAAAGCGCGAGCGAGAGCAGCGAAGCGTCGACAGTTGCCATCATTGGGGAAGAGGGTTTCGTCAGCAGGTGATCGAGTAAGGATTGTGGGAGGATGAAGGCCAGGGGCGCGAGCTGAGGGAGGATAGAGACCGTAGAAAGCTTGCTGAAGAGACTCAAGAGCGCGGGGTATAGGTGTAGCGCGGAGGTAGATGGCAGCTGTGTCAATGTCAACAGCGAGTTTTTCCGGCAAGAAGCGAAGCTGATCGACGTAGAGATGGCGTAGGCGCTGGCCAAGATCATACGTTGTTTCTCGTCCACGATCGGTCAACATGCCCATGTCGCAGATAGCATCAAGCTCGCCATTGCGGCCAATGGCTAAGATAGGCGCATCATCAGGCCCAAAGGTCTCGAGTCGGCGCTTCCACTCAAGAGTAGTAAGGCCTGGGTTATCGGCGGGATCGACATGGGAGCTGGTGGCAGAAGGGTCGAGAATGACGCTGGTTAAACGACGAGCTGCAGAGCAGTATGGCCAGAAAGGTGCAAGGCCTGTGGAAGTGAAGCGGGCGGTGATAGGAGTGCGTTCGCCATGACGGAGAAGGATCTGGACGAGTTGCAGACGTAATTGAGGCGGATAAAGGTTCTTGATCTCGGCTTCTGAGTAAGGAGGTCGGGGTTCGAGAGTTGACATTGTGAAGATCCGGCAGATGTCAAGAGCTGCCAGTGGCTCTGATGATCAATGGTAGCTAGGTTTGCTTCACTGAAGGACAGGATCGTCTGGTTTGAGGTCATGACATAACGATCCGATTAAATCTTGGCACATAATAGCTCCGTTACGCCCGGGCCGTGTCGGCGCCGTTGACCGGGGCCGAGTGGGGCTACAGCACGAGGGGAAGAAAGTTGGTGCATGACGTTGACGATGGCGTCGAGAATCAACAGCAAGGTGTGGCTACTAAGTCTCTCATGACTATTACAAAATTAATTGCACAAGACACATTAGTAGGTTAGTAGCTAAAAGTATCGCTGAGGTTCTTTTTGAAGAGACCCGCTCTATTTCGCATTGAAGATCTTCATTCCTTTTGAATCCTCAAGGCTGTGCTGGCATATCAGTGCTACTAGGAGTTTTTGGTACTGTACTGTGATGTTACCCACCGAAAGCTGCAAGGAACAGTTCCTTCCGATCGGTAACAGTTGTTGATTCTAATCGTGACTTTCTGTAGAATTACCTAAGATACCTTATCTTCCGATTCTATTGTCTTGGTTGGTACCTAGGTATCTCTTATCCTCTTTCACATGTAAATATCGAGTCTCACGATAGAATCATCTTCCTTTTCATGGAAGGGTCCATAAGTTGAGGGTCCATTATCACATGAACAAGCGGATGTCTCCTGCCTCGTGCGTGTTGAATCTTGGTCTAATGTCTTGGCTCCTTCCCGAATAAGAGCTTTCATCCTAGGTCCGTTCCTGCCATTCGGGAGTTGTAAGAGAATACCTAAAGATATGTACTACACCAAAAGTTGATCAGTTCTAAGTGTATCATCGCCTAGTACCTATCCCTACCTACTACTTAGCATCAATAACGACTACCTTTACAATTACACAATGGATCATCCTCAGCCTCAGCCCTCACTTCGCCCTATGACCTGTTGATCGATTCTCCAGAAAACAGCTTGTCGGCCCGTAATTGGCCCAGAATCCACGGTTTATTTAATCCCATACACCATGACCTCATTAAACCAACGACGATCAGGGCCAATGCTTGGGAGCTTTCATCCATAATCGATACTTCAAAAGCCGACTTCCTTCTTTCTTTTAAAGACAATAATACTTCATAAGCAACGTTGCACTCACCCGCCCGAAACAGTTAACACGAGAACAAAAGAGAATAAACGGCATATACCTAAACACCAACCATCAATCGTGGATCCATCCACACCCGGCCTTCCCGGATCAGCACACACAGCCGCATTGCATCGTTGGACAGATTGAGTGATTCCTTTCTGATCTCTCTCTGGCCTAGCTCCACCGTCTTGTCTTCTACGTCTCTGTGATTTGGTTTAGGCCGAGGAACAAACAAGAACCGCACATCTGCCATGTCTGATAATTCTTCGCTTTACCTTCCTTAAATAATCTCTTCTCCTAGTGTCACGTCTTGCCGGCTAAGTCGCCTGTTCAACATACACACAGACTTCGGTCCTTTTCACAAAGCCCGCCGTTCAACTCAAACTCCCGTTCTTGTCCTCTGGTGGTGTCTGAGGGTTGTAACAGGGCTCAATCAAGTGAGCCATGGCAACGAAACCGACGCATGAACCTCTGCCTGATATTCCAAGTCCAGATATTCAGGATGATGATGACTCAATCATTTGCAATCAAGATGAGGCTGAGGCAATATTGCAACCTGCTCTTAGTGATGCTGCTAGACATTTGACCTCACAAAACACGCCAGCCATCGAGAAAGCCTTAGCACTAGACAAGAGTCGAGCTGGATTGTTCGATTTGCCCATCGATAAACACGGTGACACAAGCCCTGACCTTTCGTCTTCGCCCGAAACAACACCCCAGGTACTACAGATTGCTACCCCAGAGAGGCCATCCGCAAAAGTATCGCCCACTCAGCAGTACCGAAATGCCCTGCCTTCACCCTGGCAGGCTCAGCCGAAGCCTACAAGCAAAGTTTCCACAAGCAGACCATCAGGAAGTATTCTGGGGAATGCCTTAGCTCCAGCTCGAAATCGTTCCAGGTCGGCAGGCCAAGAAGCACTAAGGAGACTGCAGAAGGCATGGCCTTCTCTTAGCCCTCCGACGCATCTGTTACCCTCAATGTCAAACTCGTTCTTTTCCAGCTCACACGACAAAACCAGTGCCAGTACGTCAGGTGTCCCGAGTCACTCATCACCAGCAACCCACCAGCATTCGCCTCATAATCCTTCTGATGCGCTTGGTGTCTCTCAAGTGAGGCCTAGTCCGGCTCCGCAACAGGCTCGAGGACTCGCTTCTACTCCTCGGAATTCTAACGCAGCCTCTGCGTCTGTACGACCCAGGGTTCTTCGACGGGTCACTTCTGATGAGAGTCACTTATATCACAGTCTTTCTCGCACTTCTTCTCTCGGTGATGATGAACAATTCCAGGACGTTCGTGAAATGGTCAATATTCGGTTCATGGCCTTGAAAGACAGCCTTCCTGACGTTCCAAACTTCAAGATGCCTAGCCTGCCCAAGCTTTACAGCCAAGCACGGAAGTCAACGCATTCACTCGGTGCATTCCACTCACCCGAACCGTCACCAACTCGCGCTCAGCCTCCCAAAGATTTCGATGTCAGCTCAAAGGACGGATCTGCTGTTCTCGATCGCGTCCTGGAGTCTCTGACTGGGGACTTGGTGATCATGGGCGGCTACCGTGGTTCCGTCTTACGATCTGCCGAGCCACCTCACCAACAGGTCTGGGCCCCTGTGAAACTCGGCCTCAACATGCGAAAGGTCAATCTCGAAGTTGGCTTAGAGGATGAGGACGAGGAAAGAATGGAAGAGACTATCAAACCTGACGGCATGCTGAAACATATCGGCCCCGTCGACGTCTCTCGCAAGTTTATCAAAAGACTGCGCTCGTGTGATAATGCTCGATCGGGAAAGCTGCGAGTTTGGGACTATGGTTATGACTGGCGCCTGAGCCCGCATTTACTGTCTCGTAAATTACAAGAATATCTCCAAAAGCTCCCTTCAAACCAAGGAGGGACACCGGATGGATCTCGTGGAGCTCTTGTCATATCTCACAGTTTGGGCGGCATCATCACACGGCATGCTGTCAACCAGAGACCTGATCTCTTCTCAGGGGTCTTGTACTGCGGCACCCCGCAACGTTGCGTCAATATCCTGAACCCTCTTCGCCACGGTGATGTAGTTCTCCTGAATGAGAAACTTCTCACAGCAAGCGTCAATTTCAGCATGCGGACATCTTTCGTCTTTCTGCCTGAGGATGGCTTTTGCTTTGTGGATAAGAATACAGGAGAAGAGTATCCCATCGACTTTTACGATCCTCAGGAATGGGTCAGGTGGCATCTGAGCCCGTGTATGCAGCCGGCTTTGCCGCCTCGCAACCGTCCTCAGTCATCTTCCTTTTCGTCCTTCCTCCCAAACTCTCTTCGGACTCGCGCTGATAGTAAGAGCGAGAAATGGCCGCCTTCGCCAACGGCGGCTGCCCGAGATCACAACCCTATCGCGCTCCAGCTCAATGGAAGTGGTGCAAATGTGGAAGAATCAAAGCCTTCGGATCTGCAGCGTAAGCGTTACTTGGACTATCTTACCCGAACACTTGCAGCGACTCGCAGGTTTCGCTCAGAATTGGCTCACTCGCCAAGGCACCAGGAAGCCAACGCCTACCCTCCCCACGCTGTGTTATATGGCAAGAGTATTCCCACGGTGTACGCAGCCCAGGTCACTGGCCGCGAGGGTATATGCTATTCTGATGCCTACGACGATCTTCTCTTCCGACCCGGCGATGGCGTTGTCTTGGCCAAGGAAGCCATGCTTCCGGAAGGCTACTCTATCGCTCGCGGCGGTCGTGTCTGTACCGAGCGCGGCCACATTACAATGCTCGGCGATCTGCCGGCTATGGGAAAGGCACTCGAGGCACTTGTTAGGGGCAGGCGGAAGGGCATCGGCATGGGCACTGGTGGCGGTGAGGCAAAATAGACGGGTTCCGGCCGTGTCGAGGTAACACCGCGCAACACCATGCCGTCACTCGGCAACACGATACGGCACCGGAAGCAGTCGCCGCCACCACCGAATACGGATGGGTATGCGATAACGCAGAAGAGGCTACGAGCAAGCATTAGTACCTAGAGACCAAGGCATCGCATCTGTGTCAAACGAACGAATGGACGAATCACGAATGTGGAAGGATATGCTAGATGTGATGTTATACACGCATTATTGGGCTGGCGTCGGATTGCCTCATTGTTCTGTAGCATAGCTTTTGTATGAACATTATAGCACAAAAACATTGACACGGACAGTATTGAATTAAATTCCACCATTGAAGCATGACGCGCATGATATCGCGAGTCTTTCCAAATATCGTCCGCGAGCCCTCCTGTGTGAACTAGATCCTTTCCAACCGTCGTCCCTTTTGTGACCTGGTAGTCCACAACACCGACGATGGAAATCCTATGCAACTCCCAGAATGAAGAAAATGTGGGATTGGTTAGCGGTGCTGTTTTTTTCCCGCCCGAAGCACTTGTCCCAAATGTGAAAATGAATATGGATGGGTATAAAGTAAAAGCAGTCGCTGTCTTGGCCTAAAAGCAGATGAGATGCCGAGCTGGGCTGGGCTGGGCTGGGCTGGGCTGGGCACATGTGAAAACGACTGATGACGCCCATATTGGCGTCTCTTAAACAACCTCACCCAGCCTGTTCTTGTTGGTTGGTGGGTGAATGGGTGGGCGCGGGACTTGGAGGAGAGGGTGTCGTGGAGGCTCAGCGTTTGTCCTCCATTGGTGAAAGGAAGCCTTAGCCTAAGCCTCTCACCGTCCCCCACGCTCTCTGCTTTCTGCAGGGTCTTGTGCTCGGTGGCTAAATATGGTATGCGTAAAAGCATCTTGTTAGCTTGTTCAGTAGGAACGTCTGTTCTCATGCAGCACCGACACTTTGGAAAGCACTCAGTGGTAGAATCCTCCACCTGGGCGGTGTCCAGCCGGGAGTCTGCTGCTGTAGAGTTTGAATGGCAACTTCGATCTGTTGGGCCATGCGCACATAGACCATGGTCGGTTCTATGTAGGACAGAGACTCTGGTGTTTCCTCTGCGCGAGGAACGAAGATAAGCTCCTCGAGTCCCGGCATACGCGACTGAATGCGACGCAGCAGCTCGACTGTGAGACTGGCGGCAGTCATGGAGCGATAGGTTGCGTCGACCCAAAATAGGGCATCGTTGATAGCAAGGCGGCGCACAAGAGCGAGTTCTTCAGGATCGCACATTGACATGCATGTTTGGAACTGAGAGTCTGCGGCCATGTAACCATCACGAGGTCCAAAGTAGAGAATATCGCGATCGGGATCGAGGAAGACCTGACCAGGGCCACGAGCAAAGCCAAAGCCGAGTCCGTAGTACTTCAGAGCTTCACTGCGCGACTCGGCGCATACGTGGAGGTTGGCGGGAATGGTTGCTGAAGAAGTACATCCTGACCATGAGTGGGAGCCCGAGGAGCCGGACCATGAGGAACCGCATTGCATGGGCACGAGGCGTGCAGGAGGGAGGTTATAATTCCAGATCTTGACACGAAGCTCTGCGGGGAGTTGCTCGAAATTGTGCTGAAGAAAGACAATGGCGTTAGCATTGGGCGTCTTTTGCTGTAGATTCAGGGGAGCGAAGAATGGGCTGGTTGACTTACAAAGGTGCGAGGCGTGGGTGTTGGCGGGGTATACATTGTATGAGAAGACATATTGCAGGAAACGTTTGAGGACAAGAGTGCTAGGAACTAAAACTGTGGCTGGAGTCGCAAACCCCAGGCGACACGCGCGGTGATAATGCGCTGCGGAACCAACGTTCACAAGACCGTCAATGGTCGTGGTAGATGTCGATGGTGACGAACTTTTGGAGTTGAGCAGAGTTGTTGAGTAGAATCAAATGGCCTGTGGTGTTGTGTGGTTTGGTGAAAACCAAATAATACGATGAATTCTTCTTTCTTCCTCTGTTCTGAAAGTCGAGACAGACTCGAAGAGACAAAGTAAACACCGAGGGGCAGGTGAAGGATAATAAATATAACAAACAATGGGAGACAGGACAAGATGAATAGGTAAGGCAAGTTAAGTGAATGACGATAGAGGGAGTGGGAGAGAGAGAGGGAGGGAGTGTCTTGTCCAATTTACCATCACACGCCCATCCCACCCCATCCCATCCACGCCTAAATCACTTGGGTCCTCACTAAAAAAGGTTGACTAGGTTAATAAAGGTCCAGTCTCTCCTCTTACCGTAGGATCCATGTCCATGCCAAGTTGTCGATGCCCTTGTCATGTTCATACCCTTGACAGACCCAAACTTATTCATACATACATACATACTAGCATACCCAGGGACACATCGTTGATGATCCTTGTTGATCAACAATGAGAAAATGTCCTCCCCAGAGCAAAGCTCCCACTGTGATTTTCATTCACTCACTGTATCCGTTCCCGTCGGCAAGGGCTCAAGCCTAAGAGCATCCGTGGGTCATGGACCAATGGACCCAGCCCCCCAGCCACGGAAAAGATGCCAAAGTCCGAAGATTCTAGGCTAAGTTAAGTTGTGTGTAAGTAAGTTGCCGGGAGAGGATCTCCAGTTGCGTTCGAGGCTTGTGCAAGAGACGACTTGAGTAGGCAGCCAGAAAGGAAGACAAGAAAAGGGGATGAAGCGTACTCACTCGGCAGCCCGGAAACTGCAAAACGCACTCGCTCATATTCCCGGAAACACTTCTCCATATCCATGCACCCCCGTTCGGCAGCTTCCATTCCCCTCAGCCTGACCTGACAGATCACAGCAGGAGGACACAAGTTTCTGTCTGCCAGCCCCAGGCGAGCCCAGCCCAGGCACACCACGGACAGAACCGACTGCTCGGGTCCGGAGAGCCGGGGGTGCATTGAAAGTGTATGTAGTGTAGGCTAACTGGCATTATTTGCAGCCTAAGATGAAGCACAGGCTGCACAAGCAACATCACATCACACTCAGCAGCAGCTCAATCAAGTTGGGCCGTTCCAAGCCTAGGATCAGGCCCTTGGGCAGTCACGTCTCTGATCTGATGGAATACGGATCATGGAGGCGCTGGTCGACTTGAGTCTTTTCTCATCAAAGTCGAGTGCTATGCCGCATTCAAGGCCGCCACAAATGGTGTTTTGACTGACTGACTGATTGATTGATTGACGGATGGATGGCTGGCTGCAACTCCAATGTCACCCCGTTCCCGTGTCTCGCATAAGCCGCACACGACAGAGGAGGGAGAGCAAAAGAGCCAGAGCACGGAGTAGAAGCAGGCAATCTTGCTAGTGAAATGAGCCCCAGGAACCTTGGCCGCCACGGAGGAAAATGGCCGGCGATAGATATCTCGAAACTCCGCAAGCGTTTATTATTCCCCTTCCAGACTGTGTTTCCTGTTCCTTTTGCGAAGGGCCCTACCAACTACCAAGCCAAGGCATGGAAACATGCGTAGATTTCTCGACCAATAGGCGGCTGCAATCGACTCCGGAACATTTCCAGCTAGACTTTTCCCCCAGGATTGGACTTGTCATTTCTTCTCTAGGGCCATGGGTCACATCATGGGTCCCTGTCATGGCTTTCAGTCCGCCCACACCACGATGCGATTGGCCCGAATGTTGAGTAGTACCCTTATTGACTTGCGGATGGCCGTTGATCCGACGCATGACAAGGAGGGGCCACAAACCCTCAGAACCCATATCCAATGCTGGGCTTTGACACTGACACTGACACTGACACTGACGAAACCTGCTCCCTTTAGTTACCTGTCCAAGATGCGTGTGAACAATCTCTCCTGTCATGTCTCATGTCATATGATGCTACTCCGATCTAGACAAGACGTGTTCATTGTCTTGATCTCTTGTTTCCTCCTTCGAGGACGTTCGAAACACACTCCCCCAGGGCGTGTCTTGATCCACAGATAACGCCTCTTTGTCTGTTCTCGTCCTCATCGCGCTCTCCGGTGTGGGACATCAAAGTGACGGTTGTGTAGTCTATATCCACATGCCGTTCATGGTTCCCGGTCGCAAGGGGCAAGGCTGTAATGTACATACGTACAGAGTACATCTCTGTACACAGCCAATTGTTCCAAGTTCTTGATCCCAGGTCGCTCATAGCACATCGTAGAGTAGTTTGGCCGACTCTAGTCAGCCATCGTTGAAACTTGAAGGTGCCAGACATGCTCTCTGGTTATGTGGGCTGCCGAAGGGTCTTGCAGTAGCCTTGGCTCTTTGATGCATTGCATCTATCGTTGTCGAACTGTCATTTCTGTTCCAATCATGTCCCAGAAATGAGGTGCACTAAGTAGCTGCAGGACATAAAGATTGCATTAGGTTCATAGTCCCAGCAGCAGATGTCATACTGTACTGCCGTCGGCATAACGACGTATAGAATTCACGCAGTCCACCATCTCTTCCTAGTATTCAGCTCTCTTGAGCCCGAAGACGACAGCGGGGCGTCCAAGATAACCTACCATATTCAATCCTCTGGAAGGTGATTAACAACGACATTAGATTACTTAGATCTGCATCCTGCTGATGAGTATCTTAATATTCTCAAGACAAGGGTCAGGATCTTTCAGTTGAGTCTTCGCAGTCCGCCAATCACATGTACACATCGTACTCAACAGGTAAAGCTCTGGTCTATACCGGCCTCTGTCTCAGCCCTCCAGAATCCGAGATCTAAGTTTGTGAGGATGTCAGGATGTCAGGATGTCAAGGGTAGCGCATTTTGGATTACTGAACGTTAGGGATCATGTCAGACCCCTTCCCCTGCACTGCCCACTCTGATTGACTCGTCTAAATAGCGGCTTGCATGGATGCGAAGGACGGGCCCTTGTTGGTCCTGGCGTCCTAACCGCAACCGGCGAGAACGCTACTGTCGATCATCCGCGACGCCTCACAGCGCCAGAGAACGTCTTATTGATGGAGGGGTTTGAGCCTTGAGGCTTGAGGGAGCTCCAAGCCTCCAAAGCCTCGAGCATCTTGGCGCATGCCAACGTCAACATCAGCCTTTGTGTCACGACATCGACATCATTCATCGTCTCTTTAATGCAGCCATCATGAAGCGGCGATGGTTGACGTGTAGATAGACACTCTGGAAGGATATATTCGTGTCTGGCCATGCTCTGGGCTGCCTGCTGTGACGCAAGGATTTGTACGAACGATGATGTTCAGGCCGTATCGATCTGCCCGGCAATTCGAGTATGTCATGTAACTGTGAAGTAGTTCGATATTAAAAAAATACCGGCCGGTCAGCCTCGATTGCGAAGCATTTACTGGCAAAAGCAATCCAGCCAGCAGGTTTCATTTCCGACAAGTAGCGGACCGACCGACGAGTTTAACGGTTTCCGAAGACTAATTTTCCCCTAGTCTACTGTAATAATAATAGTAAAGGCTTGAGAGACATCCGCAAGCTGAAAAGAAATGTTACATCGAAGACTTTGATTCATCTTGACTTTTTCGGAGCGCGATGCCAAGTCTAGCCCCGAATATTTTCGGGATCCACATCGGGGGGTTCTGTCAGGACGAGGTGTGGCGTGTGCTGTGGCGTCTTCTTGGTCTGGTCAGGTGATCAAGCATGTGACCAAGATAGGAACTCAAGGTATCTTGCTCAGTAAGTTGACTCTCACTGCTTGCTTGCTTGATAGATGGATAAACTCAAGTGACCACTGGTCGACCGTTCCTGCAGCCTTCTTGTCCGAGTTACTAATATCAACGTAGGTATTAGGGTATGTACATAACCGCTCACGCCAACGGTTTGACACGGACCCCAAAATAGATCATTGTGACAACCATCTCCCACCTCGGGGAATAATGCTTGTCTCTGAGTGGCTCAATCTCTGTCTAAGCGCTCGACGCCAAACGCTCAACTCTTGCAGTTAGAGGTTCGGCCAATCCTAGCCCAGCATTCGATGTCAATCTCTCACACCAACACCAACCAGCGCGCCTATGCTGCAATTCTTGCATAGGCGCTTCCTACAATCACCCTGATCGCCTTCATATGATTGGTCTCTTCACTGTCTGTTGTTGTGATGGGTGTTCGTCACTTAAGGTTAACGGGTCTTGTTGAGCTATGGTCAACCTCGTATATCTATGTTGCAAATCCCCATAATCTATTTCGATATCAATTCAAAGCTCTTTCGTATTTACGCTTGTTTCATTTGGCTTTTACTTCTCCTTCTCCTTCTCCTTCTCCTTTTCCTTTTCCACTTTCCTATACTCTTTCCTTTTCTCTCCAGCCGGTCTTGGGGTTTTGAATTTCCCGTTAGTCGTGTTCATCGCGATCCCTCTCAGGTCAATATACATATACTCGGTCTATATCCTCAGAATGGAGTCTTCCGGCAGAAACATGTCCATCGGTACCAAGACAGAGATCTCAGCGTCCAACTTCGAGGCAGATGCTGAGTCGGTTCGAACCAATCCCAGCTTCCGTATATATCGCTTGATCGACAGCGCTAGACTGGGCCTCACAGTCCTCGGCCTCGCAGCTGGCTTGGCAATCCTTGGTGTTTCTGCGGATTCCCTCGCTGTTTTCCATGCTACCTATGTCCCGGAAGATTGGTTGCTTCAACTGTGGCCTGCCAACTTCGATGTGCGCCCTACCGTAGCTCTGGTAGTCGGTAGTGCCATGGTCATTGTGGCCAATCTTGTCTCATTGATCGCCGGCAAGATTCCGACTGTAAGGCGACCCCCCAGTCTCTTCCTGTTGTATATATTTGCTTTTTGGTTCTGAAACTAACGGCCATGATGCAAATAAGGCCCGCAGAAACGCTACAGTCAGGGCAGCAATCACATTTGTGCCCCCTGCTATCGCCCTGATCGCCGCCATCATCGCCATGTCATTCTTCTACGGGGTGAATGCCTCTACCACCAACGATTCACTTCAGAGCTGGACATGCCGCTGGAAGGACGTGACCATGAACGTGCAGCCTCACTTCGGCACACTCTGCAAACAGAGCCGGGCCGGTGTAGCGCTTTCTGTCATGCTAGTTCCTGTCGAAGCTATAATCCTGGGGTTGGCGGCGTATCAGTTCACCCTAGAGAAACGCTTCGACTTGGGCGCTCGTGGACCAAGCCGCCGTAAAGCGGGAAGCCCTGCCCTGTCTTGAAATTGATATCGAGATTGGGAGACTGGAGCCAATATGCGAGAGTCCCACGGCCTTGGGCCTGGGTTCAGATCATTGAGATGTCAGGTCTGATCGCCAGATGCCAGTCGAGTTGGATCGATGGACTTTGTCAAAGGATCGGAATTAGTTGTGGGGTGTCATAATCAGCCCAAGGGGCGCTCGAGACTATTGCAGCCCGTATTCATACATACATACATACATACATGGCCTAGTCTCTTCTGTTTTTTCTTGTGAGGATTCGGAGCTGGGGCTGAAAACAAAGCTCGATGTGGTTTCGATTGCGATAGGTCATATGTGGAATATTAATCAACCCTGTTTTCTCTTTTCTTTTTATGTACATACGCGCCGAGACAAATGCCAGGACCAGAACCAACAGCTCGGCCATGCCTAGCGCGTGCATATGTCAATAGTCTGTGAACCAGTCCAGGTCAGTCTAGGTCTGATAGATAATTTTTATAGACATTCCGACAGTTTGGAAGCCCCTGATGCGTTGCAGCGATTAGCAGAAACTCTAACCTATGGTGTTCCGTCTCCTCGGTGCTGTCAAATATGATAAGGCGTGCGTAGGGGGCAATTCTTCGCATTACAACAGGGTATATAACACATTGTCCAGAGTGGCTGCAGCCCATTGTTGAACAATACGAGTAGTGGTCATCGGTCAAAAGACAATCGAAAACGTGCGTACCAAGGTGAGGTGCCGTAGCCATCCGTTGCACTTAAACGCCCATGTTTCGTGAGGACCACCTTTATACATATCTCCAGGGTAGCCGAGCACCCAAAGCTAAGTATACCTCGTAAAATGAGAATTCCTTCACACAATTGATGACCATTATCCGTACTCACACCCGCACCACTCAAACGAGCCAGACAAGGTCTAGAAGGCATGAATCGAAGGATGAGATAACAAGCATTGACAGGCCAGTTCTCGTCACGAGACAGACCAGTCAGGCACTGGTTTCATCAGCATCATCCCAGAAGGTAAGGCCGCAATGCATCCTTGCTAACAAAGGATCCATTTACACCTCGACTGTGTTCAGTCCTCGATCATGAATGTTCTATACCGGGCGGAATCGGGTTTTGTGCCCGTCGGGCCTCGCCTGAGCCAAGGGGAAGTCTGAGCCACAGTCGACTGTCCTTGTTGAACCCACAACTGTGTGTATAGTGATTGCGTGACACGCGTTTCACTTACAGAAGAGCAGAGCGGGAAACGTAGGGAAAACTGCAGTCCTTGTAACACCAGCTACGGCACAAAGACGCCTCGTTTTATCGTGTACCGTATTCAGCCTCAATTTATCTTCTTCACATCGAATTACTATAGAGTGGTCTATATGCTCACCTGCCGTAAGCCTCCTGCGTATTTGATTATGGAACGTGATACAGACTATGCTCACACTTATTTATATGCGCCTGTTTCTTTGGCTCGATATTCGATTTCTTTTGATACATGCGGCACATCGCCGCAAAGTATGGGCGCACAAAGATCTCACGTGTAACGAATAACCAAGCCATCTCTGAGCAGTCAATGGCTTTCATGCGCTCGTAACTTTCCTTTTACATCGTCGTGATCCCGACTCTGCAAGCTTCTGCTGTCGTCATGCATCTATCACCGGCAATGGCTTTGCCTTACATCCCAAGTCGCACCTCTACGAAGCCTCCGAATTCGAAACCACGGCAAAAACAAGAAACTCCTGCCTCAGCTCCAGCACCGAGATTACTCCCAGGAGAGCGAAGAGTCAAGCCTCGCCTTAGCAGGCCAAGTCTCGATCCTGTTCTGGAGAGCGATCAACGACTCTCAAGAGAGGTAGAGCAGATTGCCTCCGGGGATGCTGCCAAGGTGACGAGAAAGCAATCATTACCGATACTTACCAGAAATCGAAGTGACTTCTTCGAGGAAGCATTCGGACCCAAGCATACGCAAGACCCCGGTGATCGAATACGGAACGAGTCTCCTGTGCTGGTAGAAATCAAGACCAACGTCATTGCAAGTTGGCGCGCTGCATGGCACCAGAGGATCTGTCACTGACATTCAGCTATGTACCTAGATTGAAGATGAATTTACCTTCATCACTGAGCTATCCGAGTACCTCTCGTTGCGGTACAATCGTCCGGCATCTTCTATCGTAATAACAGTCCAACATGGGATCTGTATTCAGTTTGGTGGCGGTTCTGATCCTTGCTATACCATGACAATCGAGGCTCTCGCTCGAGACGTTCAGACGACAATGAACAAACGGAACATTGCTCTCTTCCAGAGACACATGGAGCAGGCCCTGAGGATTCCTCCATCCAAGGGGTTCTTGAGATTCGTTCCCCTCGCTGAAGACTGCGCTGGGTGGAAAGGCAACACACTTGCTGGGCATATTACAGAATTGATAGAAGAGACACAAGCGATGGCGGAACGTCGAGGTTCGATCAGAGCTCCGAGGAGAAGATCTAGTAAGGTGAGTCTCGTTTATTGCTATGTTGAAGGAGCTGGTTTTGATCAACATGAGTAGGCATTTCGAGAAATGAAGAGTAAGATAGCCGCATCAGAGAGTGCATCTGCTTTAAATCCGAGCACATCGCATGGCATATTGTCTCATGACCCAGAAACTTTTGCAAAGGCTGCGAAAACCGAAGCCGAGACCGAGAAAAACAATACGAAGACGTTGAAGCGAAGGAAGAGTTTCATTCATACTCTGTTTCCTCGGTCTGTGAGTCGTTTAGCGGAGAGAGAGACGGAATAAGAGGAAACAAATCCAGAGATTCCTGCCAGCTAGATACTTGTCTAGGTAGCCATCAGCAGTGGTTAGAGGGTTGAAATATCGATGTCACTCCTTTGTTGGCGAGGAATGACATAAACGGAAACGTTGAAGTCAAATATCGCTCCGGTACAGGGTAACCTGTTGCAGATTGCATGCGCCACAGGTAGTGGAAGAGGGCCCTCTCCCAGCCAAGGAGTGAAGCTAGGTTCTAGCACCTAACTAGTCATGAGATATTATATAACGATGTTGCTACTTATCACATCTGAAACTAGTTTAGATTGCATGAACTCACACAGATATGATGAGTCTATAAGGATCGAACACATCCAGGTCTGATAGAAAACCAACCTGAGGTCGTTTCAGGAGGTAGGTGACTTTGTTTTAGTGGATCGTGGGGAGTTTCAGCGCCATGAGCTGCTGCTGCCTGAGCGGGCAGTCATTGCTCCAGCCACCTCCAAGTGACAGTCTCGAGACCATACACATACAACAACACCTGGAGACGCATAAATCACCCATCACCTATAGAACGTACGTCCATGCCCATATTTTTCGTCATAATCGGCTATTGTCCTCCATCGCATCGTATACGCATCTACCAATCAAACACCGGAGCAACCAAAACGCTGCCGTCGTTTCGCTCGCTCACTGATCAATCACTGAGCACCCATAAGGTCGCAATTGACTTTCTCAGCCTCACAGCCTTGTTCTCAGTCCTACATCTGGACCAACCCAGCCTCGGAGAGTTGACCACTAGGACGGGAGTTATCGTGTAGCACGGGATAGCTCGACCTGGGCTCTCTAAGCAAAATGGAGGTAAGATACTAGTGCTTGTTGCGCCTGATTTCCCATGCTTTCTTCTTCTCTCTTGTCTCGACGCTCAAGTGTGCGCTTGACCCCTCGTGTGACCAATGCAACACGATACAACAAAGCACGACACAGCACGGCACGGCACAGCACAGCGCAACAATGCTGTCACCTCCAAGGTTCTCTCCCATCCTGTCAGCTCCCGCAATATGTCACCAAGCCCTGACCTCCATCGAGGTAAAGATTGGTCCTCGGCAGTGGCGCTGGCCACAAAATTACAGCATCAGCGTCCTGGCAACACTCTGGACGCCCTGATTCGACGGTCACTCGCTTGGCTAGGCCGCTGCTGTGTAGAGGAGCCTGTGTCAACTCAAGTGGTAGGATACGCGTCTCTTATACAACGCGAGGCGTGGTGAGGCGAGGCTCTATACGAGCCACGCTGGCCTGCAATTATGAGTACGAGTTGGGGTCTAAAGACCGCTGAAGCCTCATCACGTCCAGTCCCGCCAGCTGGAGCCCTCTACGCCTTCAGTTCACCTGTTAATGCAATGGATGAGATCCTTTTGCTCCGATGCATCAGGTGCTGCCAGTTGGCGGGTATATCATGTCCCTGTCCGTCAGTGCCCATTATATCAACCACTGATAGCTCGCCATCTTGATCCGGCACAACGAAAGAGGACAATAAAAGGAGATGAATCCTCGGGATAGCCTTGCTGTATATCAAGTGACATGAGCAAACCCGATATCCAGTTTCACTCAAACCCAAGAACCCATAACAATACATAACCCAACACCCCCAACACCAAACTACCCCCTCTCCATTGCCATTGCACAAGTCCCAAAATGTCACTCAGTCCTCCAATTTACAATCTTGCGCGCTCCTTTGATGAGGCAGATGACACATCTGCCAGTGGAACAAGTCCAGCCCAGCTAAATCTTCAACGTCTCTTTGAACAGTCAATTAGCGGAGCTCCGGCATCTAAAAAGGATGCACAAAAACCTGCCGTCCCCGGACCCAATTCTGTTGGCGCAGCTCCTAAGGGGAAGCCGCGTTTATTACTCATGGGTCAACGAAGGTATAATATGCGCGGGAGAAGAAAGCAGACACCAGCTAACAGTATGTCACAGGAGCGGAAAGTCATCCATCTCCAGTGTAGTCTTCCACAAGCTGCCCCCGAACGAGACTCTATTCCTTGAATCAACGGCTAGAATTCAAAAGGACTCCATGGCGTTAGTGCTAGCAATACTCTGGCCGTGGTAACCATAAACTCACAATTGCATAGGTCATTCATGGATTTCCAAGTCTGGGACTTCCCAGGCCAGATCGACGTCTTTGAGAACCCAGGATTTGATATTGAGGCCATCTTCAGCGAGATCGGTGCCCTCATCTGGGTCATCGACGCTCAGGATGACTACCTCGAAGCCGTCATGCGCCTCAATACCACGATCCTTTTTCTCCAGCGAACATACCCCAACATCAATATCGAGGTCTTCATCCACAAGGTTGACGGCCTCTCAGATGATTACAAGCTCGATATTCAGCGCGATATCACCATCCGTATCCAAGATGAGTTGTCAGACCACGGCTTTGAGAACGCCCCTGTCACCTTCCACCTAACCTCCATTTATAACCATTCTATTTTCGAGGCTTTCAGCAAGGTTATCCAGAAGCTCATTCCTCGCCTCGGAACGCTGGAATCCATGCTTACCAACCTCTGCCGCACGTGCCGTTTCGAGAAGGCATACCTCTTTGATGTGCTTACAAAGATCTATATTGCCACGGACAGCGCAACTGCTGATATGGCGAGCTACGAGATCTGCAGTGATTACATTGATGTCATCATTGACATAACCGAGGTCTATGGTACGTGGCAGCGCAGTGATGAAGGGCGTCGTCGTCTGGAGGGCGAACCTTGGAGCGCGCCTATTGATAAACAGATTGGCTGCAACACTGCAGAAAGCTGTCTTGTCCTACACGACGGAAACAAGCCCATCATGCTGCGTGAGGTGGATCGTTACTTGGCACTTGTTGCTATTATGAAGGAAGACTCGTACGATAGCATGCCCCTGGTCAACATGAACGTCGAGGCCGTTGTTGAGGGATTAACCGAATTCTTCAACATCACTAAGCCACGGCAGCAGTAATTCGACTGCCATGAGTGAAAGGGGCAGGCACTTCATATTCATGTTCTACCTTGTAAATTATTTAAGCTAGCGTCCTTGTCAATACCTGTTTTTGAGAGTCCATGACGCCGGGTTCGGGTTCCCTTCGAACTTCTCCCATTTCTACCCTGATTCTTATCTAAGTGAACCGCGTGACAGCTTGAGCTACTGAAAAGTAAATGTTTTGATAGTGGTGCGATTACTCTCAACAACGCAGACTCTCTTGGGCATGTCGCCCCTGACATTATTCCTGTCGTTAACCTCCATACGCAATGGTCTAGACATCGACTTCTCAGGAAAAGAGTAGGCCGCAAATCCATCAACTGACACGCAAGGTGTCTCACTGAGCCTGCTAGGATCGTAGTTGGCATATGCAAGCCTTCCTGTTCGGATAGGTACGGAGACAACCTGCAGCCCGTTATCTTTTTTTGCAACATTAGCATCATACTTGTTGCATGAAGAAACTCCCTATTAGCTTACCCTGACTGTTACTCAGTATGACAAGTGTTTCGTCGTTGAGGAACTTTAAGTCAATTAGTGTACGTGGGCCAAGATCGATACGACAACTTTTTGGCGGTCTGTTGGTACTGATGCCATTGATGATGTCGATGCCGACGGAGAATATTTGAACTTCCATTTGTTAGCAAGAATAGTTCTTCAGGTCATTGAACAGGGCTCGCCTCACCTTCGTTTTTAGCCTCTTTAGATGCTAAAGCAGTAACCACATTTGTTTCCTAATTCGATGTCAGTAAACAGATGAGTCACACAAAGAAGCTCAAGCACCTTGTTCCCTGATTTGCTCATCCTCATATCTCTATGTGAAACCACACGACCAGCTGACAGTCTAATTGGGTTCCCAAGTCGAACGCTACGCTTCTTTGCCTCTGCAATACCCTTGAATGTACGATTCGCCCAGGTCGTGGCATATGATACAAGAAATTCGACACGTGGGAGAGCTTTCATGCTGGGCTGTCCGTTCTCCCACTTTCCCAACGCCTGATCAAGAACATGAAGCAGAGTCGGACCACCTTCTATGTGTGCCCAGTCTGCTTCATAGTCTTCTCTGGTCATTTCGTCAAAGAACAGCCTAAGCGGGCTATCGATGAGATAATTCTCAATGTAACTCAGTACCTTTGCAATGTCCATGGTTGCCTCCTTTTCCGTGAGTTCCTCGCTCGCGGAGCTAGAAGAGGCAAGCCGGTCGATTTGGAAGCGAAGCCAGGTTGAGAACGCGGTAAAGCTATCAAGTTCGTCCATCACGTTGATCAACACTTTATGGCCGATGAGCTGGAGACATTGAACAATATCCATCAAGCGACTAGTTTGCTGGGGAGTGAAGCCGATGTCATCTCGGGTGTCATGGAATTGAGCCAAGCCTCGTAGCCTGCTTAGGATGATTGCACAACGATCAAGAGCTGGGAGGAAGTTCTCGTGGACTAAATTTCTGAGGCCCTCCAAACCGGAGATTACTGCCTTATCCCATCGCTTATGGCCCTGCAAAGCTTAGCAAATGTCACGATGTCATGAGAAGCCTGAAATCCCAAGTCACTTACTCGTTCTGCCAGACTTTCAACCAGCCACTCGCGTACAGGCTCGAAGGCGTGACCTGTCACAGCCAAATGGTAAAGAGCAGGGACAATACTTCGTGGCCCGGTCTCGAGATTTTCGAGATCGCCTTGAATACTCCGCAAAAATCTTGTGGGAAGCTCGCGCGTGTTTCGCCATTCGACCTGCATATGAAGTTGCGCTTGCTTCAGATACCTCAATAGCTTTTGAAGAGTGGTTAGCTTGGAGGCAAGGAGAGAAAGGTTGATAGGGTGGGATGAGATGAATGGAAGGTCGATGGGCACCAGGTGCACTTCTTCTGGCTCTTCTGTTTTGTCTGCAACTAGTAAAGCCTGGGTTGATACATGTGGGTGCGATGCATGAAGAATCAGCTGTGAGCTTGATGTGTTAATCTGAGGGCATTGAAAGCTGCCAATGATGAACGAATCGTATATGCTCAGCTGAAGTTGACCATCGCTGGTCCCGATAATCATAACGCTGACTTGATCATACTCTTCTGGTTTCGGGGGTTGGAAGAGGAAGTCTATACCAGTTCTCAACGTGAAAACCAAAGCATCTTCTCTGTCGAGGGATTATTAGTATGTTGCGTTCGACTGTGGAAGCTGAGGGCATACCCTGAGCCGGCACTACTGCTGGGAAGAGGGCTGATCTTGGGTAATGCTGTGTCAACCTCGAGGAAAGTCAGTTCACGAGGAAGATTCAACGGAAGTCCATCCCCATTCCGTGCTGAATCTTCACCGAGGCCATCCTTCAGAGCTCGGGACACGGCGCTGGAGCCCTTCTCGGCAATACTGCTACTCGCCCATCCAATGTGCGTGATCTTGCTCCCTGGAGATTCGCCAACTTTGATATGGTGAGCTGCCTTGTTGTTCTCGAGCCCCATCAATCGCACAAAGCCGTCACTCCATCCGACTGCAAGGAATTGGCCTACGCCGATTGAATGAGTAGTTTTCTCGATCATGGGAATATTTGCCTACTGACCGTCCGACCTCCAAGTAACTGCCTGCGCGTCTGGTGCTTTCTGGCCAGGCGCACCAACCTGGTGGATCTTGGAAACAACTTGACCAGGAGGTCTATACACAAGTATGTTCTTGTCCACTGGGTCCCAAGTTGCTGAGAGATCTAGAGTCGGGCAGCTCACAGGGTAGCCATCAGGTGCCCTGTCTTGATACTCAGTCGCGCTGAAGGGCGCAAGTTGGTTTCGCTGCGCCATGTTCATCTGTGGCGTGGACACAGCCCACGAGAGTATTTTTCAGAGAACTTCTAACATCCCTATGAGCTGTAAACCATCACTTTTCGTGTCGCTTGGAGGGTGCGATGTTGTATGCGAGTTGTGACCGAGCAACAACAAGCCCACAGGGAGGATTTAGTGAGTATGGACCGTGCATCAGTGAGCAGCTCGCACTATACAGCTCAGGCACGATATTGCTTGCGAGAATAGAAGTCCAGTCAGATGAGACGAGAACGAAATGCATACTCATTAAAGATGCAGAGAGGAAAGAAGAAAATACATCGAGGATGCGACAACAAAGCTGATGAGTATAAACACCTCAATTCTACATTTCAACTCCCCAACAACATTCACTATTGCGTGCGTAATCATTAGCTAGCTGTATGGAAGTTGATTTCGTGTCAATCAATAATGACGAACACGGCCACTTATCAACAAAATGGCCAAAACACGTAACATCAATTGTCGTTGCGCCATTAGGTTCTAAACCGCCAAGACACTCCTACTAATGCCCATCTCCAGCTCTACTCGAATACATATCCTTATCCTTTTATAGAGTAAATTCGCCCAGAAGCTGTTCCTAAACCGAAAGACTTTTGGGTTCCGTCTATTCTACCAAGAAGTTGTCCGCGTGAGACTTGATCTCCTTGGAAAATGTCACTTGCTCCTCTTCTTCCAAAAGAGACGCGGAGCGAACCTGTGAAATGGTTAACATAATACTTAGGTCAACAGGTTGGGATAGAGACTTACGTCAACGTCAATGTATGGCGTGCTCTTGTTGAAGCGAACCGTCATAGGGAAGAAATCATTCTCATCTCCGGACTCGGCCTCGAACTCGAATGAGCCATTGGGGTTCTCCTCATCCACGTTGCCAATTGTCCACTCGAGAGCGTCGCCAGAAACATCATAGGTAGCATCGAAGCTTGAAACAACAGGCTCGCTACCTGCATAGGGAATAACGACGCTAACATCGTTCAGGGCATCGCTGCCAGTCATTTCATACTCCACCGTTATGTTGTACTTGGCCCCCTCCTTGTTGATCCAGACAGTAAATGTAATTGGGCATGCGCTGGCGTCATCAACCTTGGGAGAAGCCCTCCATCGCAGTACACCAACAGCGTTGTTGACCGGGAAGCCACGTGCAGTGTTGCTCATCTGGATAATCTTGGAACCGTTGAACAGATTTCGGTCAACGTTGGGGTGTGTACGAAACTGTACGCCATGCGACGCCTCAGCCTGGAGGCCGAGCTTGATCTTTGTCAGGCTAGGGTCTGAGATGCGGAGAACAAGATCACCACTGATAGCTAGAGAGTTGACAGCGCCCTCGCGAGACAACTTGGCCGAGATAGTCTCTGAAATAGTGACGTGGATAGCATCGCGATCAAGAGTTGACGAGACGCGAGGTTCGGCGGCTTCAGCATGCTGGACGGGTGCGGGGGCAACAAGAGGTGAATCGTCGATTTCGCCTCCCATGTCACCTCGTACTCGCTCGAACATGTCAGTTGTCTTGGACTTCTTACCCAGTTGCATACCCTTGGCCTTAGGAGCCAACGGCCTCGAAGGTGTTAGCCAATTGTATTCTAGAACGCTGTAAGTGCCACTTACTTGCTGAAGGACTTGTTCTTCTCTGCCTCGTATGAGTCGTAGGTGTTGGTATTGGATTGCGAAGGGGGGTTGTATGAGGGATAGGAAGGACTTCTGGGCATACCACCGCTGCTACCCATTCCGCCCATGCCACCCATAGCTCCACGACCACTGCGAGCAGCATCCTTGCGCTGCATCTCGAGCTGTTTCGCCTTTCGTTTTCGCTCCTCGGTGGCCTCCAACTCTTTGTTCTATGCGTGTATGAGTATATGTCTGTGAAGGAGATCCCAATGGAACTTCTTACCCTTGCGATAATCTCTTGGATGCGCTCCTCATGACTCTCCATGTCAAGGAAGGTCTTGATTTGGCTAATGGTCAAGTTCTCACGGTAGCCGAGGGTGACAAGCTCGTCAAAAGCACTGAGCAATTCGTAGGCATTCTTGAGGATTTCGCGCTCGTCGAGACTCTTGCATGTGCTGGTAACTACCTGGGCAAACAGGTGCAGGGAGTCGATGTCCTGGAGAATGTTGGACTGTCGATTGGTGATGAGAACCATGTAGAGTTCGTCGAGGGGCTGGTAAACGAATCGGACGTTATCTTG